TATTTATAGGTCAATACAAATTATAAAAGACAAAGTCAAATATTCAAGAAAAACAAAGTCAATCTAAAATTCAATCATAACATTCTCCCCCCTTTGGATTCAGGCTTGAAAGAATTTGTACATTTTGAATCCCTTTTGAATCTTTGAAGCTTTAAGCACCTTTTAGTCTTCTTTAAAAACTTTAAGACAATCACATTCTCCTCTGATATTCTTCAAATATTCTTCTCTTGAGAAAATCTTCCAAACATTCTCCCCCTTGAATGTAGAATAAAACAATCTTCTCTTTTCACAATGAAGAAATGAAACAACAACAATCTTCAGAAATAGTCTTCAAGATGTGATCTTTAAAGAACTTATTCAGATAACATTCTTAACATTCTTCCTTTATGAAGATGAAACATTCTCCCCAAAAACAAAATTTCAACAAAAGATATAACATTTTCCATTGAAAAAACTCTTCCAATAAACTTCTTGTTAAGATGAGATCTTCACATTTAACTTCCACTCAATATTGTAGCACAGAATAATCTTCAGCAATAAGCAATAGTCGTCACATTCACACTCCTTTTATACCTTGAATCTTTTGCAAGTTCCCGATCTTCATAATTGACATATAAATTTTCATTCATTATATAATATTCTCCCTTATTATGAAATGAGAAACATTTGCACATGAATGAATCTTCGACAGTATGCCATCAATTCATAAAAACGTAAGCAAATCATTTCAAATTCGCTTTTATAATCTTTTCAGATTATGAAGATGGGAAAATAACCAAATTCAACTTATGAATTTGTTTTCAATCTTATAAAATATTGACCTGTGAATATAACAAATATATTCAGTACAACGGATGTATTTTATATATGAGACTTTTTAAAAATCCATGTCAGATTGTCCAACATCATCAAAATGGAAGGCTACAAAGCTTGAGACATCATGAGATCCACCAGATCCAAGCAAAGTTGTTGGATGTTCTAAACTAAGATTGAGTATTTGGGTAGCTCAGGGACATAAATACCAATGAAAAGCTAGAAATAAACCAACACGTGCAACAACCCATGTCCAACATTATCAACACCAATATAACTCCCCTTCCATGCACACTAACAACGTCTATTATACAAGCTTCAAGATCCAATATCAACAAATAAAAAACAAATCCATCTGAAACAGATCAAACTTCATCCATAACCAAAATAAAAAACAAAAGGTGTTACATATATATATATTTCGATTTCTTGAGTTCTTGAAGTTGAATTGTGTGATGCAACCAAATGATCCTCTTAACCCTTTAATGCTAACTGGATTCTTGAATCAAATATCACAAAAATAAAACCAAACAAATCTAATAAACCAACATATATAAATCGAAAAGCTTCGTACTGGAAAATCTAAACTCATATCTAACAAACCTAAATTTGGAAATCGAAAAGCTTCAAATCTGAAAAAACATAAATAAAGAAATTGAAAAGCTTCATATTTGACAACCCCATATAAAAATATCAAAAAGCTTCAAATTTGGGTTCGAAAAGGAAAGTGAAGAATGATATTGTTGGCGTTCTATAGCATTGATGTGGCATGGGTTTTGATCGTAATCGCCTTGGAGAAGAGGAATCTGCTGGTAAGGTATATGAACAGTCACGAAAGGGGGTTGGGGTACTTGCCATGAAGAAGGCCATGGGCCAATAAACCATCGATCCCATATGGCCATTGAAGGTGAATTGAATCTTCTAATAAGGGTGGTACCGTTGGAGTTATGTCAGATAAGGGTGGTCGGGAAGAGTCGTCGTGAAGGGTTTGGGTATCTGTTATGTCAGGGTATGTATTTATAATGATTTATTTGTTTAATTTTTATTGGAAATTAAAAGAATAATAAAAAAACCAAAATCCCCTTGAAGTTAACTGGTTTTTTTTAACTGAGTTAGTGACAAGGACCAAACCTAAAACAAAGTGGCAACCACAGTGACCAAAAATGTAATTAGTTAAAAAAAAGGACTAGACTTCATAACGATTGACAACCACAAGGACCAAAAGTGTAATTAACTCTTTTTTGAATGAAAAAACTATTAAACTTCTTCTTTTGAATGATCAAGTTTTTGGACATATTTTTGAATAAATAAACCATCGAACTTTTAAAAATTGGTCACATGCATCTTTTTAACACAAAAAAGAAAGTTACATGCAACCAACACCAAAAGTTTTAAAGAAAAAAAAAACACATAAATCAACTTTTTTTCTTTCGCACAGAACGACATTACTTCCCCTCATCACTCCTCGTCATCCCATCATTGTCTGTTCTCTATAGCATCCATTCCCGCTGTTTGCCGCTGCTATTGATCTCTCCATCTTTTTGATTCGTTTTTCTCGTTCAATTTTCACTCTTTTACAACAATTTAATGGAACACATATAGATATATAAAAAGAGATGAAGAATCAAAAAAACAAAAAAACAAAAATCAAAAGAATGAGATTGATTGGCAGAGGCCAACAACGATGATGGGTGATTATAAAGAGCAAATGACAATGAGGCAACGAGGGGTTTGAATGATGTAGGATCGGGAACGGTAAAACCGATAAAGTTTTTTACTTTAAATATGCTCAGCCGATTTCAGGTAGCTTTTTGGGTTAAAGAATCTAGATAACCAATTTCTAAAAGTTTGATTGTTTATTTATTCAAAATGAGAAAGTTTAATGGTTTTTGATTCAAAAAAAGTTATAAGGACTAAACCATTCAAAATAAGAAAGTTTAATGATTTTTTCATTCAAAAAAAGTTTAAGAACTAAATCGTTTAAAATGGAAAATTTGTTGGGTCTTTTTAGACTTTTTCCTTATAAAATTACAAACTTAACACATATAAAATTATATTATTGTTGGTTTAAGATTCTTGAAGTTCATGTTTATACAATCTTCTTTGTGGTTAGTGCATTTGTGTGATTCATTTCCATCAACTTCATGATCATTTTTCGATTTTTGTGTCTGTTCTTTTGTTTTTCTATTTCCACAAATGTTGCATAGAATTCTCTCATCACATGTATTTTTTTTTCTTTTGCAAAGATTCGGAAAAGAAGAAAATGACGTTTAAAGTAATGTTTTTACTTTGTATTTCAATTTAATGTTTTAGCATTAATAAACGTTATGTGTTTAAATTAATGTTTTAGCATTTAAATGTTGTGTGTTTGATATAATTTTTTGTTTTTATTAATAAGTTAAATATATGTAAATAGATTAAAATTATATAAAGCATTTAAAATTTTCTTTTTCGTTAGCATCCTGCATTCATGCCCCCATTAGACTGTTGTTGTTAGCATAGCTAGCAACATAGGAGCCGACTCAGCATCGACGACTTCATGTTGCATTGTATGAGAGGAGTGCAGTGCAGTGGGGAGATAAACTCTTTTGAGTTACAATTTACGTTTCTTACCAACCTGCGAAGGGTTGTGAGGTTGGATTAGGTACAAAAAGTTATTTTTAATGCGTAATTATAAGCATTTACTTATTGAATAAAAAACGTTTTATAAATTAAATTAAATATTTTATTTATTATAATTATTTAGTTAGTAAATTATTTAATATTAAGTTATAGTAAATAATGTTTAATTGTAGTTTTGTTGTTATTTGATTAAAAATTTAAAATTTAGTTTTTTATGATGATGTGTCACTTAAGAAATTGGTAAGAAATCATTATAGTGGAGGGTAATTTCTAGATAATTTGTAAAACTGGCATAACACTTAGAAAATTGTGCTAGAAATTGTATTGCGTTTTATAGGGGTTTTCAACATAATAACCAAAATATACTTAATGTATTAATAAAATAGTTATTTTTCAAGTTTTTTCACAAAATAACAACATGGATCGCTCCCGAGAGGCATGTGGACCATGGGGGGCAATCTAAGCTTCTTTGACCCAAAAAAGTACATAAAAAATCTTTTAAATTGATTTGGGGGCTCATATGTATCTGATTTGGGGGACCAAACATCTGATTTTTCTTAAATAGGGGGATCGCCCCCACCTACCCCAGGATTTCCCCCCGAGGGCGATCCGACCCCTATTTCGTCTTCTAGTGTATAAAATATAACTATATATAGCTTGTGACCTCTTATTCATTTTCTTTCACATCTCACTCCTCACTTCTACTCTCATATCTTCTAAATTGACAAAAAAAAAGGAAGGTTTTCCTCACTTCTACTCTCACAGCCCTTCACTTTTAAACACAATCTATCATCACAATCCTTAACCCTTAACCCATTAAATACAATCTATCATCACAACCCTTAACCCTTAAACACAATCTACCATCACAAACCTTAACCCTTAACCCATTAAAAACCATTTACCATCACAAACCTTAACCCTTAACCCATTAAAAACAATCTACCATCACAATCCTTCACCCTAAACACAAATATGAAATCACGTCAAAGTGATAATTTTTCCATATATTTTAAAAGTGACGGTTCATTCAAGACGATAAATGGTGCCTTAGAGTATATGTCATTAGGATCCTCCATACGTGTATTACCTTTGCCTTCGCTAATAACACATTTTGGTTTGTTTAAACGTGTTGTAAAAAAGTTAAGTTTACGTGGTCCTTTCAAGTTATTTTATAAAAATAATTCCTTACAAAAAATAGTATGAGTTAGGCGATGACAATGATGTGATGATGTTCCAAAAACGTTGTTCATCAAAGTTTACCGAAAATTGATACTCTTTGTTGTCGACGATGGTGGTTATGGTGGAAATCCATCAAGTGTCATAATCCATCAAAGTTTACTCCGCGGTAAGGTGCAAAGCCATACGGCCCAAACACTTTTTACCCCGGTGGTAGTGGTGGACATCCAAACACTTTCTTCCTTGGTGGTGTTGGTGGAAATTCATATTTTGATCCAAAAAATCATATTGATCATGACAGTTATTTGGTTCAAGATTTGGATCAGTCTCCGAACCAGTACCTGATCCAGTCTCCGAAATAGTCAAACACTTTGTGGGAGGTAGATATGGATGAAGATGTTTATGTTGCAGCAGAAATTATGAATATACCCGAAGACGATTACTCAGCTGCTGAAGAAATCCATCCGGTAAGGAATATTTTTTGGGGTATGCCCGACCCAACACCTTGCCCAGCCCCTGTTATCAAACTTAGACGGGGAAACATTTTTTACCAGCCTACATCCCATGTAAATGTTCTCCAAACCTTTGACTCGAAGAAAAAAGGAAATCATAGAAGATGTGAACCAACGGTTCAATATTAGTATCTTCTACAGCCAAACATGGCGAACAAAGATGTATGTCATGCAACTGTTGAGGGGGACCCTGAATCGTTGTTTAACCAACTCCCAGTTTATCGTCACAATCTGAAAATAGCAAACCCGAGGACTGTGACAGAGATCGCTCTTTATGGACGAGGATGATTCAACATGTTGATTGTCGCACTCGGTTGTTCCGTAATAATTTTTGTTATATTCTTGAATTCATGTTATAATTTTATGTTTTAAAGTTTATATTTGTAACCTCGTTCATCTGCAGATTCGCTCGTTTTTAGGACACCTGCGACCGCTCCTTATAATGGATGGTGCCCATCTGAAGGGGCCATACGTGGGCACCATGTTCTTAGCGGTCAGCATGAATGGAAACAACCAGATCATACTCATTGCAATGGAAGTGGGGAAGACAAAAAGTGGTCCGTCATGGATATGGTTTTTACATAAGCTGAGGCAATGTATCGGTGAACTTCCTAATTTAACCTTCGTAACTGATAGAGCTGCCTCTATCGAGTTGGCCATAAGAACTATATTCCCCAACGCGCACCACAGACTTTGTTGTCGGCATTTGAGCCAGAACTTATGCCTAACCTCGAGTAGAGACAAAAGAAAAAGGTGGATGTTCTGGGAGACATGCAAAGCTTATAGGGTGTCTGACTTTGAAACTACAATGTATTTGATGTGGCACAGTCTACCTAACGCCGCTCAATATCTTGAGGAAGTTGGTTACGCTAGATGGGCAAGATCGCACTTCCCTGGATTGTCTTATAGTGCAATGACTTACAATAGTGTCGAGTCCGTCAACTCAGTAACCTGGTTTGCACGTTACCTTCCGATAACAATATTAGTTGAATTTTATCGAGTAACATTGCAACAATGGTATTTTATACGTCGACATAACATAGATAAATGAAACCGTCCAAAACTATATATATGATTATGTAACATTGGCTAATATTATCATTTATTTGCAGTTCAAATGATAAATACAACAACACCTTGGGCTAAGGCAAAAATAGAAAAGAGAATCCATAGGAGTGAAAATTGGAGGATATATCCCATTAGCGAGTTGTTGTTTGAAGTTGATGACAGGTATAAGAACGGAAAATGCAGTTTTCATGCTAAGACTTCTACATGCATCCAATGACAACTTTCTTGTATACCTTGCAGTTATGTAATATATGTTGCTCGAAGTTTAGATATTCAAGACTGCAGTCAATTTTGTTTAGTTTTGTTCAACTCCGATTCTTATCGGACAACATACAAGGAGGAAGTAAATCTCCTTCCACCAGAAGCTGAATATGTGTTGCCCAATGAACGTATGACTGTCCTACCGTCTCCCATGGACATACATAACTTTGACAGACCACGCAACCGAGACCGTATCTCATCACGAAAAAGAAACTGATAGTGAAAACTTGTAGTCAATGCCACCATAATGGACATTTTTGTTACACTTTTCCAAGTATGATGCCAGCTCCTAGGCCGATGCACGGAAGTTCAAGTAGTTGTCGAAGATCAGTTAGTCGAACAACTGATTGTGGTCCATCTCAATCTGATACTACACAATGTATGTATTTGATACTTTCTATTTAAGTAAGTAAATATGGAGCCAAAGGTTTTCAGAAGGTTTATTCTACACTAACCTATTATTATAATGTTTTTAAATATTTGAATTTTAATGTAAAGTATTTTTTGTTTTCGAAAAATATGATGTGGACTGTAAAATGACAAATTAAATGAGGGGCTTCTGTTAAATATTTTAAATAGAAGAGAGTAGATTGTAATATAATGGATTAAAAATCTTTTAAATAGATGAGAGTAGAAATACATGAACATTAACCATTAATACATAACATTACCATGAAAACATTCATACATAACATTACCCTGAAAACATCAATGAAGACAACAACATTAATACATAAATATGTTTGCTAATTCCCTTCTGAATAAAGTTGTTTGCAACATTCAATCCAGTACTGCTTTTCATTGATCATTTTCTGCATCATGGGGTACTCTTTCGCTATGTTGTTCACAAGTTTTTCCTCAGCTCGAATCTCTTTCTGCAATTGCATTATAGTCTTCTTCTTCTCTTCGATCGCTTCCTCCATTTTACTCTGCCTCTCCCTGTTTCTCCACCAATCATCACTGGTCTCCTTGATCTCCGCTTTAGTTTTTTTCTATAGATTTCTTCATCCTGGTATGCATAATTTGAGAAGACGGAGGGTTTGATGATGATGGATTTTCAGTCATTTCTTGTAAGAAGTGGACAAGTAAATGTATAGGATTTAATATGGTCGGTATGAAGTTGTGATTTTTGGTTTCATGAGACATCCTATTTGTAACGCCCCAACCCACATATTGCATGTAACACATATTTCATACAAAAGAAATACATGATATCATTTCATTCAGGTCCCTTAGTACAAGAATCTAACATGACCAAATACAAGATCCAAAAATTCAAAATACATTTCTTGTACTAATCAATCAAAACAGATCT